CTCTCCATTCCATGAGCGATTCTCATAGACTTGTAATATGAATGAAATATGGGATGACATCCCCATCATAGTCATCGGGACGTTAACATGAATAATAAAATATCAATAATAGTTTACTCCCCCCCCCCCCCCCCCACTTTGTGTTTGAATTAGATGCGAGAAGACAACCCCACTACAGTTATGCCCGAGACGTTGACGTGAACGACCTTTCGAGATTACAGTGAAGAATTGCCCCACATTGAAGAATGCTTTGGAGGTAATTTTCAAGATGCAAAGAAGATTCCTTTGCCAATTGGATGATCTACATCATTGGGAGATGAAGTAGGGGCTTGGTGTCTTAGAGTTCAATACAATGTCGAACGGGACTTTGTTTCCCACAGACGGCCCCAAACTGATGCGTGCTAGAAAATTCGCAATGGCAGAGTAACGGACTATCTTCTTAGCGTTGTACGAAAGTTCAACACACACACACAATGAAAGATAAACAAGCGGTGATGAATCCAGAAGTTTTTACGTGGAAAACCCGTAAAGGAAAAACCACGGGGCCTGACCCAGTTGAGAAATCCACTATTGATTGTTGATTACAAGAATCCCTTGTCCCACATACGGGAAATGGTAACTATATTTTTTTGATTATAGAATTGATTGACAACATCTGGTTGGTGGTAATCGACTGTGGTTAGTGGTAGTCGATGACAGTTGTCAGAGGTCGACGAAGGTCGGCGGTGGTTGACGGCGGTCGACGGTGGTGCTGAGTTGCAACTTTTACTCAAGGCCTCGGACTCTCTCTAGACTTCAACCCCATTTCATGTGAGTTGTGGGGGTCTATTTATAGTGTTCTTGGTGCAATTAATGCAGGAATGTCAACTATTGTGATCGGACGGTCCAAAGAGTTTTCTCTAATCAGTCTACGTTTAATGGACATTCGAGTGCCTTAACAATGTCAGAATTGAGTGATTTTTTGCTCGTTGGATTCGTCTTGTTGAGCTGCTCGATTCGAGTATAAACTTAGAGTATAAACTTACCAGGTATAAACTTACCAGTGTCGACATCTGTTTGACATTCCAAATGTGTCCAGAAATTTTTTAAGGGTGATTTAATGATTTGATCTGAGTTTGATTTGACTAGTTTTCAAATCATTAGGTCCGTCTCATCGAACCGATCAGTTTGACTATAAGTTTGCTGAAATTAGAGTTCTGGATGACTTTTTATCAAGATTTAAATATTTATTGCTTAAAATATTGTCTTAAAATTTGTATTTTGCTTTGAGATTCATGTCAGATGACGAATGACATATCACAACACATTCCTGTTTTATCCCTCAAATGCCCTTTTCAGGTATTTGGGTTTTTTTTTTTGACTTTTTTGAAGAAATTAGTTATAAATAGTGTTTTTATTAGCTCCATTTTGGTAATATTCAAAGTTTTCATTGGATTCTTTGCTTGTGCTTTGCTTTGGTTCATGCTTATTGTTTTGCATTTTGATCTGCTTGTTTTAGGTTCTTGCTTGATGCGAGGCTTAGGTTTTAGATCTTCTTGCATTGCTTCTTAGCTTTACTGTCAAGTGTGTTTGATTGAAATCTGTTGTTCTTTTCTTCTTCTTATTTAAAAGAAAAAATGCTGATGGAAGGGATCAGGGAAGAAAGAAATGGTTATCTTATTTTGTGTACAATTTAAATCTAAATTTTGCCAAATATGATTTGGGTGATTTCACAGGAAAACATGTTATTTTTAATTTCACTATGTTCATTCTGTTTAAGGGTAATAACTTGGAAGCCACTGTTTGCTGGTTATTATATACATATATATTATATTTGGAATTGTTAACTGCTTAGAGCAAGGCCTAGTTGGGATCTTGCGGCAACTGAGCTATCTCGCAGAGACAGTGATACTCTACTAGTGCATATTATGCACTTTATCTTTCAATTTGACCCGTTTTACTTGTCTTAGGTCAGTATTTTTCAAATTTTTTATTATGGATGAAGCACAAATTAATCAAATTCGCATTGTTGCTCTCACTATTTACACATATTGTTAATTTAAATAAAAAATTTGCAAATAAGTTGTTTACAAAACGCACGAATCAAACAACTCAACAGTTTATCCAAAACAGGGGCAGATTGGTCATTTTTCTAGAATCAGCTGTTCTCAAAACGCACTAACCAAATAATCAGACAAATTATCCGAATCAGCTGCCCATCAACAGATTATCAAGATAAGCTGCTTATCAGCAGAAGCTGGATAAGCTGCAGCTGCCCTAAACAGACCCTTAGTTAAGCACAATCGCCTAAACAGACCCGGATAAGCTGCAGCTGCCCTAAACAGACCCTTAGTTAAGCACAATCGCCTAAACAGACCCTTAGTTAAGCACAATCGCCTCGAGTAGGTCCGGAACTTGCGCCACTGCCTCAAGATCTCCTTTGTCTCGCTCCCTCCAACTCGTCATGTCTCCTCTGAAGTCGTCACTGACTTGCCATGGTTAACGGAGTTAACAGAGTGCTGTATTAGTAAATAATGAAGTTTCAACGTGGAATTTGTAAATTCCATTATTTTATGTGCAATGGATGTAAATCCCACAAACTTAAATTATTTAATAGTTAATCAATTAAAAAATATATTTAACTAATATAAATAATAATTAATAAATGTTAATTGTATGATTAATAAGTAATAAATTTAATAATTTTAAATTATTAATTAAATAATGAATAATTAATTTTTAGTTAGTATAATTAAAAATAAAATTTAAAATTAATTAAATAAATTTTTTATCATAATAATAATAACTAATTAAATTTAATTATATTCTCTCATATAAATAAATATAATAAAGTTTAAATTCTCACATAAATTACCAAATAATTTCAACAAGATTTAACTGAATTTATTAGATTCTTTGTTGGATACTTTTTGAGATTTAGACTCTGTTTGCCGCAGCTGCAGCGTCTCAGTTTTTCAGCTGCAGCTGCATTGCCTCAGGAAGCTGTTGCGGGGAAGTTGGTTGTCTGTTTGTTGCAGTTGTCTGAAAGCAACTATGGAGCAACTGTTTCTGGAAAATTGACTGTTCTGCTCCTGTTTATTAAATTTGTTTCTAACAGAACTGTGACACACATTTTTTTAAATAATTTTGAAGCAGAAATTCAAAAAAATAATGAATTTATTTAAAGTTTAAAAATATGTTCAAAATAATGATGAATTTGTTGAAATTCATTATTAGCTCGAATGATATTCAAACGACAATGTTTTGACGATGGTGGACAAACAACAACAACCTAATGACGATTGTCAGGTGGTGGCGATCTGACACTGATGGAGAGATGGACGATCCAAAGATTGGACGACAAAAATGATTTGATGATGATTGACAGACAAAAATGCTTTAACCAACATTGGTGCATACAACTAGTAACATCACAAAAAATTTTGCATTTGGGGAGCTCCATCCCTCTATTGACTTGATTAACACTCTCAACTCTCTTAGAAGTATACTATAAAACAATTTTGCTTCAAGCTCCAATCATAACAAAAAGAAAATATAGTTTTCTTTAACCTCTTATTATGACTTTCTTAAAATATGTATAACTATTGGAAGTGCCTTGTTACCTTAAATCCCCAATTTAAACAAAAATGATTCACTTGCCTATCAAACCACAATCTGAACATCACCAATGAATCCTTCTCCATGATAGAACCAGTATGAAAAGAATCTAGAGGAGCAGGCCCCTGCAACTCTCAACTCATTTTTCTACGCAGATACTTACCTTGCCAATCCCTCCAGCTTCGGCTGCAAAAGCCCTTCACATTCTGCTGCGGAAGAGACATCGGTAATGATCCCGCAATCTTCGTTCTCATTCGGTCTCATTCTCCTCCACATCGGTAACGATCCCGCAATCTCATCTCTCGCTCTCATTCTCCTCCACTTTGCCGCAAGCTTCGTTCAACCTCCCAGGGAAGGAATCGCGAGGAGTGCGAGGGATTTGGCGCGAGCGACGAAGGGTAATGTGTAATAATCCATTGCTTGAACGCTGGCCACGGGGTTCCATCCGTGGCCCGCGTTCCGCCAAAGCGACTTCCAGAGGTGCTCGGTACGACTAACCAAATGTCTGAGATTTGTGGCCGCTCCCCGGGCCACGTGAAAAATCGTCGCTCCAAATAGACGCGTGCCCATTCCAAAATTTGCTAAATCCCCCAAACTTAAATCTAATCCGTTGTCATAGAAACTCTTAGAAATCAGATATCTGCACGAATCAGTGAGGCTGGTCGGAGCGAGCGGTGTTTGGTATTTTTTTGTTTTTTATTATCTTATTTATTTGTTTTGGAAGAGCAGGAGAAATCAATATTATTCTTCATTATAATTTAAAAAAAAAAAAAAAAACAAGAGGCAACTCAAGGAGGAGCCGTGTCTGACTCTCCTGCTGCTTAATAATGTTATTTTTTATCATTTTAAGAAATTTGTTATTACTCTCCCCAAGTCTCTCAAACATTTTTATTATTATATTGGTTATAATTTTCTTATTCATTGATTAAGAACAAATAGGTTTTATTTAATTTTTCTAATTTAACAAAAAAACACATTTTGATGCGGTTGAAACTTTAATTCATCTTAAGAGTTCAAACTAAGTTAGGGAAATTCACACAAATATCACCAACTTTTATGTATTTATATATCTAACTGCTAAACTATTATATTTATATTTATAACACCACTGTGTCGTAAATCACATATGAAAAATTTATTTTTTGTTTAAAAAATAATAATATAGATATTTTTGATAAGGCGTAAAAGATTATATTCGTTGGTATGGGTGTAAATATGAACGTTTAAATGAATAAAAAATATTTGGTTTGTATGTAAATACCCCTACTAGCCTTTAAACTTTGAAGTGTATATTTTTATTGAATAATTGCATATTTGATACCATATTAATTAAAATTACTTATTAATCAATTAAATTTATAAAATTAACTCAAATAAAACTAAATTAAAACAACCATCCATTTTTCCTTCCTCTCTGCCGAACCCCGCCCTACGCCCTCCACTGGTTTCGCTCAAAACCATCGCCTTGGTGAGCGAACCCTCGCGATACACTGGTAAGGCAACGGCGGGATCGCAGCGCACAGAGACTGAAACCCCCATCTTCTCCTTCCGCACTGCTCCTTACCCGAAACCATGGAGGCAGATGGAGGAAATTAACTTCATAACTTCTTTTTCGCGGGAATCGCCCGTCCCGAATTTACTAAATCCGCCGATTTACAGAATTTAGTAAATCCGTGGTTTACGGCCGAAATCAGTATAATCCGGATTTATGAAATTCGCAGCTTTATTTTGTCCAAACTGACCATCTGGCAGGATTTAGGTCAAATTCAGGTTAAATCCTGCTCTAAATCCTTTACCAGGCAGCCCCTTGCCATCATCATCTCAAATTTCCTCGTCCTTTTCTATACCTGTTGTGACCGACTACGAAACATCTCAAAATCTCACCGAGAATCAACTTTCCGCTGTCTATCTCAATATCTATACGCTACTCGCACAAACTGTGCCCTAGACATAAGTTTATCTCCATATTTGTCACCTTGTCATCTCCCTCACCTCCGCCCTTCTTGCTATAAACTTGTTGCCGTAGAGTACCTCGGAGAAAGATAAAGGCTGCCTTAGATCTCCAAAGCAGATGCGCTTCTGGTGCAGATTGTGCAGGATTCATTAATTGCGTTTCTTTCATCGTTGGCGGGTCTGTCCGCCACCTAATTTTCCTTGGGATACTGCAGGGCCGTCGTGATCCGCATTTTTCGGGTACAGGTAAGAGGTAACTATTTTTCCTCTTTGGTTTGTCCAAGTTTCTTTATGATCTGAACATATCAGCATTTTACTTAGAAAAAAAAAAGAAGAAGATAAATGTGCCCACTTTTTTTATCCGGATAGTAGATGAAGCAAAGTAGCTTGTCCTCAGAGAATTCTCACTCCTTGATTCTCATGGTGGCATGTTTTTGCTTCTCTGAAATAAAAGGATATTTTTTCCTTGCACTCGTTTTTGGTGCATTCAAGAAGAGTGAAAAATTGACTTTTGCTTTGGAACATTTCAAAAGAAAAAATGAAATACTTAAAGTTAGTAACTGAGGAATAAGATAAAAGGAAGAATTTGAGCATTGTTTTAGTTGTTTTGATACCTCAATGCTATGCGGTATAAAAGGATTGTTTAGTTGTTTAGTCTAGTCATCAGCTATAAATGTGATTTTATGCCTTGAAAAATCAGGAATACACTGTCATCCACATGTTGCACCTGCATGCTTGATTTTAAGCCTTGAAAAATAATATTTTATGGGAATATTGGATACGCAATATTTAGTTATGAATTTGAAATAAATGAAGGAAAGAATTGTCCTTACTATATTTTATACATATGCAAATGATCTACTCTGTATAACTTAACATATTGTTTAGGAACCTTAGATGTTAACAAATGATTGAGAGCTTCTATTATAATGCACAACTGCTTAATTATTTGTAATTTTAGTTTAGAAGCTATCAAGAAAGAAAGTCATAAAATCTGCGTCTCCCAAAAATGATAGGGGTGACGGATGCAATCACTTAAAGCCATGGAAAGATCCCCTTTGATCATTAGAAATGTGGTTCATTGAAATTTGTTATCTCTAAGATGGCAAAGATAATTTTTATTCCTGACACCAATAAAATAAAAGAAAGGGGTTTTACATGTGTAGCACCCGAAACACTCATATTTACGTATCTCACACCCAAGATATTTAATTTATGAATGTCACACCCTCCATGAATGCCTTCGTCATACACTGGTGGTAGAGAAGAGCTTTGGAGCAAGGTAGAGGGAAATGATCAGCAGTGGGTCTATGTTTGCTGGGTTCGAATGACAAAAAGGCGAGGTGAGCTGTAGATGGTTGTGTGTGGGGGCTTCTTTTGCTGGATGTTGCCGATAGGAAGTTGAGAGGTGGGCTGCTGTGAGGATTTTACTAGATAAGGATGCAACAAGTTGGAGGTGCTATCGGTGGAGATGTTGGCGACAGTGAGGCAAAGGAGTAATTGAGGACTGATACTTGCTCAATTGGTTGGGTTTTTTCAAGGAGTTGGGATGGCTCGTTCAGAAGAAAAAGGGGAGAGGGTTGGCGAGAAGGCTATAGATGAGAAAATTGAAGTTGTCAGAAAAGATGCCGCGGTAGAAGGATTTGTTGCAGTGAGGGAAATGCGAGGATGAAAGGAGGTATTCAGGTTCGGTATAGGCTTCTTGCGAGTTGGAGGAGACGCGTGAGGTTGGCTGCGTAGTTTGAGTTGAGGGTGGGTGGCTAGTCGGCGGGAGGCGAATATGCGGTTAGTGTTTAGCTTTCGCAGGCTTTAGGCACTAAAATTTCACACTGTACTTGAACAACAGAGAGCTTTTCCGCAACTTCTGGGTGAGTGGGAGAGAAGATTGTAAGTTGGAGCTTTAGATGACGAGGGATGGAGCTTGAGGATTTTGAGGTGGTGGGTTGACGATGGACAGAGGTTCAAGCAGGTGAAGCTAACATAGATGTTAACGGATGGTGTGGGATTTCTAAATTAAAGTTTTCGGGTGTGAGATACATAAACATGAATGTTTAACATGCTACATATGTAAGAACCCCCCAAAAAAATGATAGGATTGCTTTCAATTAAGGGATGGGAGGCGCATTCGACGGAAATAATTCTTAATGATGACCAATATTGTACATTGGTTGATTGCAGTGATAATTTGAATAATGTTATGGAAAATAACAAAAACCAATGGGCCACGGTGATAATCCATTATAGATATTTTATTTGATATTGGTAACTCTATAGTATATTTTAAATATATTTTTAACATTGGATACTTGTTAAGTAAGCTAGGAGGAAAAAGTAATCCTTAGGTTCTACCTTGTGTTTCCATATTGGTAGGTCCCTTTATCTTAATTTGAAATGTGTGATTATTACTATTTATGATATCAACCCATGTGTTAATAACTTGATCTTCACTATAAGCAATTGGTTGGTTGAAATTAACACCATTCAATTTGAATGCCATAGTGCCAGTACTTATCATTTTTTTTTTTGTGGCAAAAAGCAAGCATGTCACTGTTATTGGTTAGTAGCCTTACCTTTTTCCTTCTCATGTGGATTTTGTATTTCTAGCTATCACTTTGGCAATTTTGCATGTTTCTTTAGTTTTAGCTTCTATACTTTTTTTAAATCCTTCTAACCATTTAGATACAATGACTGAAAAACAAACCCATCTAACCCTATTCTTTATAAAATTTTGAGAAGCTATTTTTTTAGTACTTTTCTTGACCTGTGTTAACCTTCTGTTGAGTGCATATGGACAGATGAATCTATTTTTTGTTTGATGAAAGAATGCTAAGGTAGATAAGCCCTTGCATTTAAAAGCTCGAGTTTTGAACTTTTAGAACAAAACTTTGCGGAGAATGAATATTTTCCAATTTAGTAATAGCAGGGGTTCTTATAGGGATGTTGGAGTAGTTGTCAATTTGGGTAGCACTTTTCCTTGTTTCATTCGTTTAGCTTTTATATCTTTAGTCCTTTGGCTCATATTTGATGGTAGGAGACAGCCTTCTATTTCTACGTTTGCTGTTGTATATATCTTGTTATTAATGGTATCACAAGGGAGCAGGGACTTGTGGGTTTCAGATCTCATTCATCGGAGCTAAAGTTTTTCTCAACACTCTTCATATTTGATTGAAAGATCTGATCTAACTTCTTCTATGAGGTTCCAGGTTTTCTAACAGAAAGGAAATTGATTATTCTTTTGCATTTATGTTTCATCTTTTATCAACATTGATAAAATCGTTTCACTTGAAACACCACGCAAGATCTTTATCTGTTTGGCAATGTTACTAATGAATTCTCTTATGTTTGGCAATGAAAAATTTAACAATTGTCCGCATGGTGAAAGGAGGGCTGCCGATCAAATGACGAAGGAGAAAGGAATAAATTGATAAGATTCGTTTCTTTGGCAGTTGTGAGTGCTCTTTGTAGGAGCGAGAAGGCCCTTGGCTAGCAAGAGGCTTGGCTGTTGTCCGGGATCTAACAGAGCAGTAGAGGCTTGTGATGTCGGTTTATTTGTCCACAATAGATGTCAAAGTTTAGGGGATAGAATTTGATTATTCTGTCGTTAACCAAAAATAGAAAGAAACGAGAGGGGAATGTTGTACAGGTATAGGACTTGGAGGATTAGCAGGAGATAGGCATCAATGATGCCCTTACACTTGGACCATTAAATTGAAGGTGACAAGGTTGAGGGAAAATTTGTGATACTTTTGTGGCTGAAAGGAGGCAATGGTGGTCATGGTTGCACAACTATGTTTGTTCACGACGGGAGAGCAAGACATGTGAAATGACAGGTGGAAGTAAACCAGGATGTTTGGGCTTGTTTTGCTACTAGGATGGTCTATGAGAGGATTCATGGTAGTTATGAAATAAGAGATATAAATGCAAAAGAAGTCATATATGCTTTTGTAGTAACTTTTGATAATGAAATAGCGACTGCATATTTTAAGAAAGGAGAAGATTAGGCCTGCTTACCACAATCAACAAATTACGCAAAATCATATCGTACACACATTAAAGTATGGAGCTAGAAGTATTATATTAACATCATAACCTATTGAAAAATTTAGAAGTAACATATTAATCATGACATAAAAGTAACAAATATCAAATAATATATTAACTCCTTAACATTAAATCATGAATTAAGTAGTGATATAGAGAACATATTAAGATAAAATATCAAAGTAAGAATTAATAATATAATAATTCAAGATAAGTTTAACAGGAGAGTTCACTCTCTCTCTTTTATTGTCCAACATTGAAGTAAAAAATATAACATGAAACCTACAATGAAGATTATAGTTTCTAAAATTTAAAGTCCTTTACACTCACGTCACTCAATGAGTCTTTATTGGAAGCATCATATAATGAACAGTTTTTTTTTTCTTGCCTCGTTCTTATTGTGTTAATATTCTTTCAATTTTTCTTATCTTTAATCTCAATCATCTTTTTTTTTAATCATTAATAATTAATAAGATAATTAAAATTTGAAATGATGACAATGTTGATTACTTAATTTTTTTTCGTTGATATCTTTTCTTTTTATTTTTTTTTGGCTTTTGTTATACATACTTTTCTTGCTTAGAAAAATCAAAATTCAGATCTTGTTGCAAATTTATTACAAGTCATTCATCATATGATTGTATGCATTAGAAACCAAGGGATTTTATTCATCCATGAAAGCCTTTTTTTTAGATGTCTAATAATTTTTGTTTTGTATTATGTAAACCAATGAGTTTTTCCATAAGGCAGGCAAGCGATTTATTCTTTTATTATGAATTTGATTGTATGTACTTCAATTTTGTTCACAAATAAATTTCAAATTTATAATATTTTAATGGCAAATCATTGTATCTTTGGAGTGTTATCACAAATTTTCTTATCAAATAAAAAGTCACAAATAATTATGGATGAACTTACTAATCTTCTTTGCTTTGCTTAAGATATTCTTGTGTTGAGACAAGTCTCTAAGTTTTTTAAGAATTAAATATATGCAATTTGCCACTCATGGTATCCAATACATACATATTCTCTTCTTCATCAGCTTATTCCAACTACTTTATAAGCATTTGTATTATTTGTAACAACTTGTATTACTAGATACTCTCTAATCTTCTCTATGTTTCCATGAAGAAGTTTGAATATGTACTCCTAGTCCTTCATCTAATTTGTTGCTTCAACAATTCTTAAGAAAAGAGCAGTGTAGGGGCTATT